AGAGGCCGTGTGTATATTGTACATTTAAATAAGAAATAAGTGTGTATTTTAAATATGTGTAATTGCAGACAATGGACTGACTAACAAATGACAGACCCGACCTCTCGTCAGAGAGGGAGCTACACATAGACAAGAGAGTAACTTTCATTCAAAAGAGATATCTGATCATGAGCCCCAGCTGGGGCTCGACACCAAGACAGACAGACTGACTGACGGTCAGTTGCAACGTGACTCTGACTCTGACTGCCGAATCATCAGTTGACTTCAGTCTACGATCAAGCCACACCAAGCAACGTCAGTCAGCAGGCTTCGTCGCCAGCGCCCGGTCTTCGGAGGCATCGGCAGGCTGCGCCAGGCACGACTGCGTCGGCCCTCCGGCTCTCTCACACCCGACTCACTGGGGCACCGCCTGGACTCGCCGGTTGTAGTGTCCCTGTCCGACCCACTGGGCATCTGGCGTAGCCACTGCCTCATCACTCCTACGACCGCGCTCAAAGACTAGCCTTTCACCAGCAGCCTACGACCGCGCTGCGTTAGCCACGCATCCCCAACTCACCTGCCGCACAGCGACCAAGCAACCTCCAGCAACGGCCGCACTGCGGCCATTCCACTCACTGCAACTAACCTCTCTCCCTACCGGCGCGCGCAGCGCTACCTCTCCGATCAAACATCTCAGCAACCACGGTCTTTATCATGACCAACAAACTGTTCCGAAGAAGTGGGTTGTCATCGGAGTAATGACAAAACTACATTAGACCCCACACTTCTATATGCTGTATGTTTTAATAGGTTTGGTCACAATTTACAGGAACTACAGGGAAGGTAATTTGGAGTAAACAAGCAAATTAATAGGCTCCTGAAGAAAGCAGTCTTCTGGGATTTGGCACCGTGTATATGTGGTGTTAACCGTCGTTTCGGAGGAACGTGTCGCCTCCTCTTTTACTGTTTCTCACGGTCTCTTCGCTTGCGCATTTCTTATATTTTTCTTTTTTATTTTGAAAATGGAGGCGATAGGTTCCTCCGAAACGTCGGTTAACACCACATATACACGGTGCCAAATTCCAGAAGACTGCTTTCTTCATAGTCACCGCCGTGAAAGTCTCAGATCTTACATAATAGGCTCCTGTTTGAGTCATGTTATACTGAGCTCTGATTGCTGCCTGCTTTTGCTGGTTTCTTGCTTGGCTTGCTCTTTAACCCTGAAGACGGAGGCTACACGTTCCTCCGAAAAGTAAAGTTGTCATAAGGAACAGAGCCCTCTCTTATTTTAGAGTGTCATAGGGACCAGGCACCAAGCCCTCCTATTATTTTAAGCTGTCAAGACCGAGCGATAGCCACGAACTCTTAACATGCCACAGGATAACTTATTAGTATTGGGTTCGTGGCAGAGAAAAGACACACACAGCTATAAACCTGACAGCCCTTCGACAGTATAAACAAAGCTTTAGTGAGCAGTTCTCACTAATTGCGAAGGAGGTAGACATTATTAGTTTTTATGCCTATGACTGGGCCAATGCTGTATGTTACTTTGAATATAACCTTCCTGAGGACAGTCGACAGTCAGCAGCCAGTGGTGTAAGTCGTCTGTTCGACTCACTTAATAAATCTATCCTATCTACCAGACTGGGCTTTGAGTTTTTCTAACTTCGACTGGACTTCACTCCACTCCACATCCTGTTCGTCACATGCAATTTCCTGGCAATCCGGTAAAACACACAACTACCGGCGATCCACGTAATTTTCGGACATACTCGCAAGAGATCTAAATTTGTTTGTATGGAACGACAAGACTGCTCCGTCCACCTACCACTTTGTCTTGCACGTCCAACCATACAACAAAGTTATTTTCACCGGAACACACGAGGTTATATCCCAGAAGAATGAACTCTAGATGCTCTAGATCACTCTAGATTGCAGGATTGCTGTACATTGACTGTCCAACTGTAGATGTTTCATTCGAATAGAAATATAGTTAGAATCTCGGAAGGAACATCGAGATAATACCTCGATTAGGCCACGATCAATTCGCTTCAACTCATTTCCCACTCATCTGTCATCCTACCATCCGACGCTATATAGTTTCGAGACTGAAAAGCGTCGTTAAAACCCCCTCAAGTGAAAGAAAATAAACCAGCTGGTTTGTGTGACGAGTATCTGTAACCTCTGTTAAGTCTGCGCGGACAGGCTGTAACTTAGAAAGATGGGAAGTGGGTTGAAGCGACTGATAGAATACATCTACCTACGGCTCTACAGCCCTCGTGGATCTTCTCTATCAATTACTTAATCTACACAGTCGGTGGGACTCCTCGGACGGGGATTCAGCCCTGTCGCACAAACAGAACAACACAAACTGAGAATAAACGCACACAGACATCCATGCCTCGAGTGGGATTCGAACCCACGATCCCAGCGTTCGAGCGAGCTAAGACGGTTCATGTCTTAGACGCGCGGCCACTGCGATCGGCAAACTGGAATGCCAATAGCGCGTGGTATTCAAGTGGGCACTCATCCAAATACCAGCCACGTCCAATGTTCACGTGATCGGACGAGAACCCGTTTTCAACATGGTATGGCCGTTGGCGTTATAATTGCGTACATAGGCCTAGACATACTGCCGTAGTTGGTTAAATGTCAAATGAACGATACTTCACTCGCTGCACTGTTTCATATGCTAGAGCAGTCAGTTGAGCGACTGGTTACGGGCTACATGGCAGAGGGGTCGGAGTTCAATTTCAGAATTCTCTCTTCTTCACGTCATCCAGACCGGTCCTGGGGCCCACCCAGCCTCCTATCCAATGGGTATGGGGGGGGGGTCTTTCCCCGGGAGTAAAGCGGCAGGGACGTGAAGCTGACCACTCACCTCCAACTAGTGACGAGGTCAAGCAAATATGGATCTATACATCTACTCCCCATACGCCTTCATGGTATAGCGCTTGATTAGTTAAGCACAGGGACAACTTTACCTTTACCAGATTTTCTGCTTCGAATACAGGACATGCCGTTTAGAGACAAGGAAGCAAGTAAATTCTGATAACAGAACTCACAGATACAACGTCGATTACATATCAGAAACCAGCATAGAGCGAGAAGAGACAGCTGTTGCCAGGAAACGGCAAGGTAATCACTTCTCCCCGGGAACAAATGCACACACAACAATAGAGGAACTGTTAGGCTATTGCTAGGCAAAATGATGTTTCCTATGCGGTCCGTGCCGAGGCTATATAGCGAGAGCCATCGGGAAATTTACATAAACCGTGTAGGCGGGGTAGAATACCTCCGCCGTGACCCTGCGAGTAGTAGGAGGAGACGAAAAGGGAAGTCTCAAATCGGAGACAGTAAAATATGGTCACAAGTCCCAAGGGACTCAGACCCGAGAAGGACTGAGCTGGCAAGGGTCAGTAGCCAGAAGTATATACAAAAGACAGGCCCATCCTCTCGTCAGAGAGGGCGCCCCACAAAAACAAGACCTTAACTGTCCAACAGTAATATATATCTGATCATGTGCCCCAGATGGGGCTTGACACCAAGATTGACTGACTGATTGACGGTCAGTCGCAATGTGACTTTGACTTTGACTAAGTTGCATAAGGACTACGGCCGCAAGGATTCAGTTGCAAAAAAAAAAACCTCTGGTCGTGAACCTCAAGGGGCTTGGCGCCCAGATGAACTGATTGACTGTAAACCGCCAGTCGTAAAGTCCCACTGACTCTGACTCTGAATCAGTCACGAGTCAAGAATGTGAGGATATTTGGAGCCATGGGTTTGATGCCAGACAGTCGCCAGCCGGCAACGTCGAGAGCAGAAGACATTGTAGAGATCCGTTATCAGACTAACTACTAGTGAAGACATAGAAAACTGGAGAGACCTATTGTCTACTGTAGTGAACTGCAGAGAGTGTGAACAAGCGGGAGAGCTATAATTACTTGTAGTTGGGTGTCATAAAGGGTCCAGTAAATCCAATTAACAATCCGAACTAAATACGTGAAAATATTGAATTGGATCTTACAGGAATGTATTATGAGAACTGTGAAATGGACGATTGCTTGGAATGATGCTCTAGCACAGGATAATTTGTACGCTATTTTGCATCTGCTGAACCTTTGTCCTGTACCCAATATGTCATTAAAAAATTGCAGTGAACATGCAGAAATGAGGGATAAAGCAAGAACATTTCTCTGCAGAATAAGTCTTCAGTATCCTAATCAACATTATTGTGTGTGTTGCTTGATCTCAGTCCACAATTATTAAGTTGCCAGTCCAGATTTTTAGCATCCTTCTTGGTTGCGTAACCTGTTGTTTAATATTCAGAGCCTTTAAACCAGTCTGCGTGGTTGTAGGTAACTGCGAGGAGAGCAACAATGGCTGCTGTTTTCAGATCCACAGGTATGTTAATAAGTTGCTTCTTAGTGTGAAGAAAAGGGTGTCTTGCAGAGTTGCAGTCGTTACAATTTTCGAACTGTACATGAATATTTCGTAACCAAGCTGATGAAAATTGTGCTGAAATGTGTCAAAATGTAGGTACGTGGGGAAGACGAACTTGGAACAAAAAAAGTGCAGGACTTTCTTACTGCTGCGGACTTCAGAATACTTTATCTCTTAGCATAATTACCAAAAACTCAATACTTAGGACCGGTAAGTGAAATCTGACGCAAGATTAGTTAAAAAAAAAAAGAATTTATGTAAAATAAAACATGAAACGAATAAAAGTCACTCTTTTGTCTCTAATCCGTGACGTCAGAACAAAATATTGTACACGCAAGAAATTCTCGCTGAATTTGTAATCATTTAAATTGGCCCGCCAGAACTTCTGGATTCTCCAGGACTGTTCGGTATGTGCTATACACTTTGTCACGACCAGTAAATGGACTGATTAACATTAATACTTATCAACGGAAGTTAGTTGTGATGTACTTCTATTAACATGAAATAGAATTAAGTAGTGTGTAACGTACATAAGTTGTAAATTTCAAAATCATTCACTTATAACTCATGAAAACTCGTGAGGATTTGACATAAAATCACAGAATGTAAGTGCTTTTATAGATAAAATTACGTTCTATTGCAATTGACTCTGCATTTTCTGTGGGTGAGAGTGAGGAAGGTAAGAAAGAGCTTTTAGAGCAAACAGAATTTCAGTAATGTACACCAAAGCCACCTTGCCATATATTTGCACGTCTGTTGAATCCATGACTGCAAACCTCACAAATTAAAGATCGCTGATATCGCTAAATTTGTTTCGTTTAGTTAATTCTTGGATATTTAATGACGCTGTAACAACTGCGTTGGTTCGAAAGAGAGATCCGTGAGAACACTATGAATCGCCAACAGGGGGAGCCCTGGAAGTAGTCGTAATTCAGCAAATGCTGTTAACTAACTCACTCACTTCATGGAACTGAGTCCTTCTTGAGAAACCGTCAGTTATGCAGCTACTCAAGAACTACCCAGCATTTTATGGAACCTGAAGGTTCATTACCGTGTTCACAAGAGCCCTCCACTGGTCCCTATCCTGAGCCAGCTCAATCCAGTCCATACCATCCCATTCTATCTAAGATATATTTTAATATTATCCACGCACCTACGTCTTGGTCTTCCTAATGGTCTCTTTCTTCCCACCAATATCTTCTTCTTCTTCTATAGCGCAACAGCCCGATGTCGGGGCTTGGCCTCCCTTATTAAGCCCCTCCATTCCTCTCTATCCTGCGCTGCTCTCTTCCAGTTCCTTACGCCCATTAACTTCTTTGCATCTTCTTCCACCGCATCAATCCATCTAGTTCTTGGTTTCCCAGCACGTCTCCTACCACCTATTGTACTATATAATATTTTCTTTGGGATACGCTCCTTATCCGTTCTCCGTACATGCCCAGCCCTTTGCAGTCTTTTAAGCTTTATCGTCACTCATTCACCAATATACTATACACATTCCTCTTCACTACCATTCGTGTTACATGCCCTGCCCATCTCATCCTCCTTGACTTTGTCACTGGAAATAATGTTGATGCAGTCTCAAATCAAAGATGATACAACAGAATGGTTCGGATGCAAGAGAGACCTGCTAGTGGCGGAATGGACGACAGTGTTGGGAGAATTATTAAAAGGGCAATTCAGGGAAATATATTGTGTGGACAGGAATTTCGATCAGGGGCGGAAAAGGTTTTTCTAATCTAGGCAGAGGCTTATCATGCAAACCCGCCAGGGGAATGACATAACACTTTTTATTGCCAGTGGGGTGGGACTAAGTCCCTTGTACTGCCGCCACTTCTGGCCTATTGTACCAGCCCCAGATGATAGGTGAGGGTGATTGTGGAGCAATTGGTGGAATGAAGATTGGCAGGGGAAACCGAAGTACTCGGAGAAAACCTGCCCCAACGCCACTTTGTCCACCATAAATCTCACTTGACCAGGCCCGGGATCGAACCCGGGCCGCCACGGTGGGAAGCCAGCGACTAACCGCTTGAGCTATGACGCGGCCCGACTTAACACATATTCTGAAGACAACTGTTACAATGCAGCTCCTGGAATTGTCTACACGTACTGCAAGGAACGTCTTTCTGCAGTGATAATTGCTTCTTTTAAGAAAAGGGTTCTGGAACTAAACAGACACCGTCAACCCTCAGCTATGCCCACTTACAGCCCTGACTGGAGCGCCTCTGGTTTTGTACCAGAGGCGTTGAAATTTCCGGATCTGTGTCCGGGAGGTACACAGGAAGTCCAAGATGTAGGTGGGTGGACAATATTAGAATGGATCTTAGAGAGATAGGATGGTATGGATTGGATAGATCTGGCTCAGGATAGGGACCAGTGGAGGGCTCTTGTGAACACGATAATGAACCTTCGGGTTCCATAAAATGCTGGGAAATTCTTGAGTAGCTGCAGAATTGGCGGCTCCTCCAGAAGGGCTCTGCTCCATGAGTCACTCTGTCGGTGTCCGGGAGGAACAGGCAGTCTGTCTTGTTTTTTATTTATTTTACTGTGATGTCAGTATCTCAGATTATACTGTGCCAACCTTTCCCGAAATTTAAATCAGGTGCTTACCAATACGAGCTAACCATCGTGACGGTCCCCTTTTTTATAGCATTCTCCAACAGTCAAGGGCACAATCATTGTGAGCTACAGAAATGCTTCCCAAAATTTCTGACTGCGTCTGCCACTTTCTAAGTTTATGTAGTAAATGCAGAGTAATGGCACTTTTAAAAATTTTAAAATTTAGAAAAAAGTTTAAAGGATTTTTTAAAATTGGAACTGAGGATTTAAAAGTTCCAGTTCATGAAAGTCAAAATTGACGTGTGTAGGTAACAAAGATAATGTACGAATCAGACAAATATCAGCGAAGTAGATTCTGTTAGCGACGACGAAGGGAACAATTGGGAAGACCGGTGTTTTAAATTTTAAACTAAGTGCAGTGTAACAGCTACGTGAGTGTATACACCTGATGATGGCCGTTTGCGGCCGAAACATGTAGTGTAAAAGAAAACAAGACGAAAGACCTACAACAAATTGTTGCACTTAGGATGGAGTCTATATCATATAACAGGCTAACATGTTGATCACTGCCTGAAAATGCGCCCACGTAAGAGATTCTGAAATCCACGTTAACATCTGAGAATATTCCATGGCCCCTCTTAGTATAAACACGTCCACCGGAATTAAAAAAAAAAAGGCATTACTAAAATAAATTTTTCTTGTGCATCGTAACACTTCCAAGATATAAACCAACGGTTCGTAGGTCCTACTACTTGATATGTCTTTCACGAATATAAAATTTTGTATGGTGTTACATCTCGTGAAAGCAACCAATTTTGAAAATTGTATTAAGTTTGCTGAAGAATAGAAAGTAACATGGCGACTACGCAAAATATTTTGATTTAAAGAATAAAAATTTTGATGTGCTGTGACCATAAGTTTCGTGAGATCCCATTGAATAATGTGTATTATTGTGCGTTGTTTGGGCATTGCGCAAGAGATGGTTATATCCGTTATATCACTGGGGGCAATTCGTAGCTTTTAATTTCCTACATTCATTAATAAGTGAGCCGGGATAGTGTAGTCGGTATAGCGACTGGCTATGGGCTGGGCGACTGAGGGGTCGGAGTTCAAGTCCCGGTGGGTGTAAGAATTTTCACTTCTCCACGTCGTGCACACTGGCTCTGGGATTCGTCCAACTTCCTATCCAATGGGTACCGAGGGTAAAGCGGTCGGGGCGTGCAGCTAACCACTCACCTCCAACTAGTGCCGAGGTCAAGAAACTGTGGATCTATACATCCACTCCCCCATACGCCTTCATGGTGTAGTGCCTAATTAGTTAAGCACAGGTACAACTTTACAGTCATTAATAACAATGTGATAGATACACGAACTTTTGGTGTGGTCATGGCACTAGCGCCATTACTGGAATTATGTACTGTAGCAACTAGCAGTAACTATGATAATCATAGGAAGCATTTTAACAATAGGAACCATGAGAGAGACAGTATCATATTAAAGACAGCAACCAAAGGAACTATGGAAGAAATTTCTGAACTTTATGAAATGTACATTCCAATATGAACTCAAAAGTGTCAGGGAGTAAATAATGCATATACAAACTATGTTGTTCTCGAGAAAGGATTTCTCTTTCCATTCTTGTTTTGGTAGGCAAGACAATATAAAGGGGAATGCTGCGGTCTGAAATTTGCATATAATTTTTGCTGAACACAGAACACATAAAATAACAATCGAACAAACAAAGGTAATTTTTAAGTTATAAAATTTCAATACAATTACGATTTCTATATTCTACACTGCAGATAAGTTAAGGGCATCAGAATAATATATGATAATTACAATAAAAACATATATTTGGATTTTTTTAGCCATATCATAATACGAGACCCAAAGATGTAGCTGATTTAGTTGAATCAGGCATTTTATACTTTGACATTGTGGGCACATACAGATGGTATTATATCTAAAAGAACAAATTCTTTAGAGCCCAAAATTGCACAACACTAATGATGTGTGCTTTTAATACTTGTATTTCATCTCTACAGTACCAAGATGTGTGCCAGTACTTTATCGTCGGGCCCACTGCATCAGCTCTTTGCGAGAAATAGCAAGGGAGGAAATTGGCAAGATAAAGGACTCAGGCACATGGAAGTCAGAGCGTGTGATCACTTCCAAACAAGGATCACTGATAACAGTGGTAGGCCATCAGCAGCTCGAGATTCTCAACTTCTGCAGCAACAACTATCTGGGGCTTGCGGTGAGTCAAGTACAAGTCACCAGCTGCTAATCTAAAACTGAAACATATTTCTGCGACTGGGTTAGGGTAACACTAAAATTATCTCTGCAACAATAGGATTTATTCAGATTAGGGTAAACACCAAAGAATAAGGCAACACATATCCCACCTACAAGACCACAAAGTGTCATAACCCAGAAGACTGCAATATGAATATTTACCTCATGTAACAGGTTTCTCCCTTGAATTACAGACTTATATTTGTAATAAATTAAACCTGCAAATACATTTGGAAAATACTGTCACGTGATAAGTTACTATAGATTGGATTTCGACTGGTAAGTGGACTTAGTGGACTCTTTAAGACTCATGATTACAAGTAATCATAACTGTGTCACCAATTCACACACTTTACAGTTCACGACGGCACGCACTAATTCTTTTCAGTCTGCTGCGTTGACACCAGTTGTTTGGTAATGGCTACCAATGCTGTAAATTCCTCAACTTCCGTGTTCAGTGCCTTCTTTCCTTACTGTATGGTGCCTATCTCACAACTAGACTTGGGGTTTCTATGCAGCGACTTACAACATTAGGGGCTCCTCCACCTCTGATGCCTACTCTTGGGATGACTCTCTGTGACGACCTCCGATGGATCTGTCTCCCATCCGCTAAGTGCAGACTATTCACCTCTTGACTGACTCAGCTGGTCAGTCAGTGAGTCAGTCAGATTGCTGCTGGTCTTCGCCAGCACAGTAATTCTTGGCTTCAGTCTCCTCGAGATCCATGACCAAGATTTGTGTTCTACCCTAGACATGTATGTGTTTAGAAACAGTGTCATGTTTCAATTCTCCAGATATAGCCCCTGCACGGATCCACAGGGAACACTGCTTCCCACAGTTCCTTTACTGTTGAGTAATGTATGTATTGGTGATGACCACATAGAAGAAACCAGGTTACGTGTTGTTACCATGATGTTCCCTAGCAACGGCTGTCTGTGCCAGCTTCATATTCCTGGCTTTCAGCAGATATGCCACAACATATTATTCTGGTCAAGCACCCCAGCCTGAGGTGCATATGGGAGGACAGTATTAAAATGCAAGTTTTCAGGCTCTTGCTGTAGTCAGAATTACATTACTGTCTTGTGGAATGTGACACCGTGGAGTTTGGCAGATAAATTCCTCTGAAATGTTCATACCTATCCATCAAGCTGCATAGCATCACATTCCAAAAGATCATGATCTAATAACAAAACGCATTCTGAAGAAGTAGCATGGAAGAATGTTCAGTTGATTCGCCTGGTTCAAAATAGGAACCAGGGGAATCGATAGTGGCAGGTGGGGGAGGGGGAAGGTCATACGGGGTAATGTCCTTCAAGGACACTCGCCAATTAGTTCAAAATGTTATAATGTGATAATGGATACACAAGTATGGGGTGAGTCCACTCACTTCAGATGCAAAGTTATATTTTTTCTTACTACAGCATGGGTTTAGTCTGTTGAAATTGTATGACTATTTGCTTTAGAAATTAAACAGTATACATCTAAATGAGCTTAATTGCGCTCATTATCCAGCCATCACAGTTATTTGCACATTTTCTCATTTAGAGGACTTGATGTCCTCTCATGTCACAGAAACTATTATAAATTTCTTGATCACCTGCTTGTTTCAATAAGCAACACAATATATTTCTGGAAAATAAATTTCTGTGAACATAAGTAAATCTGACTGACAGCTAGGTGGTACCTCAGGTGATGAAACAAACGGTAGTATTTAGAACACTCATGTAGAGCAACAGTGAATAGGCTACAATAATCTACAATTTCAATATGCACACAAGAAGCAGCCGAATAAAAATCTCAAATATCAATATTTAGATGAACATCAATCTTAATAATAACACTGGCTCCTATTCTAATTTCAACCTAATTTTAATTCTATTAGTAATTTCAAAGCAAGGGGGTACCCTTGTTATCTATAATGTCTGTGCACCGTGACAGCAAATCAATTCATGGAATAAAACACAACACATGTAACCATGTATGGAAGATCACATAATGGTCAAGACATACTGTGTTATAATAATTTAATGTCCAGTGTGTAAGAGTGACCTTGTGATTAATAAATAAATGATCATATAATCGAACATCACTTGCATGGTGTGTACAGAAGAAGGATAATATTGTTAAAAATTACGTACTGTGATGTTAGGAACTATGGGACTTGGTGTTTGTCAAATTGTGGTTATTAATTTGCAATTTGAAGGCCCATCAAATGTTCCAAATCTAGCCCTGCTGATTATGTGAATGTGACCTGTTGCAGAGCCACCCTCATATCATAGCTGCAGCACAAGCAGCACTGCAGAAGTATGGAGCAGGGCTCAGCTCTGTTCGCTTCATCTGTGGGACTCAAGACATCCACAAGGTCAGTTCTCAGCGTTAATAGCTCATGCTTATCTATAAGATTTGATTCCTGCATCATAGTTCAAGTAAATTAATTCTACTAATTAATATATGAAGTGAAACATACAAATTTCCATGTATGGCTAATATGTCAGCTGGAAATAAATATTAACTCTCATAGTAATCAGTAGCACAAAAGCTGACAGTAACTTCAGTAACCATTAGCAACCAATGGTACTCACAGATACCAACAGTACTTACAGAAACAAACGCCAACTATAGCATCCACTAGTATTCACAGAAAGGAGTAGTGACTAACAGTACTCATACTGTCATACAAACTGAGTGCAGGTGTGTGTCACATGCCAGCATGTCCACACCTCTTGAAGTCTCCAGACTTCCCATCTCTTCTCATAACTTCCATAAACTCAGTGTATCTCATTTCTCATGTTCTCTCAAGAATTTTCTACAAATATAATTTGTGTGAGACCTTGGTTGTGAGGTAAGGATAGGTACTCATTGCTCCAACTGTCCCGGTTATAACATCTCAGCATGTACCACATAGAAAACGCAGTTTTCTTATTGTTACATTCATATCTCTTGCTATAAACGTGGTTAGAGAGCCACTGCCCAGAAATGGATGTGGTGCACACTTCAGAAAACACCGTCCTTCTATTGTTGTGTGGGTGAATGTTGCAGGTGTTACCTAACAATGGCCGCTATTTAGTCCCTGCTTAGCATTGGGTCTATAGTATGATAGAGTATTTTAAATCTGCATTAGTGGAAATTATACACAGAAAAGTATCACTAAACTATGTAATTATTAATTTATAGTTCTTGTTAACCTCACTGTGAAGCATGTGGAAGAAAACATGCAAAAGTTTTTTCCAGACTTTTTTAATTGCTGCATTAACCCACTCTTGTTATGGTCTAGTCTGAAACGCTCCCTAAACAATGGCCTTCCCTGTGTCTGTGTAGATGTCCCATCCCACCTTACATGAACCTGGCTCTAGATGTTTACAATTTCATATGTTCAAATTATAATTCTGTAATGACAACTGCAGGAGCTGGAGCACAAAATCGCCAACTTCCATGGGCGTGATGATGCCATTTTGTATCCAAGCTGTTTTGATGCTAATGCTGGAATATTTGAGGTTCTGCTCACAGACAGAGATGCTGTGTTCTCTGATGAACTAAATCATGCATCGATCATTGATGGACTACGCCTATGCAAAGCAAGGAAACATCGTTACCTCCATCTGAATATGTCAGGTACTGACGATTTGAAAGGAACTGATGATGATATAACCAATGAACTATCCTAGCACTTGTCCAGGTGTGAGAAAAATAAAAAATCTGGTGTCCCAATTGGGATTCAAACTGAGGACCGCCCAGATACAAGTTAAAGCATTACTGCCAGACCAACCTGTTAAGTTTATATTTTTAATAATGATCCTCTATCAGTACAGTGTACCAAAACTTAAAAAATCCAGTACACCAGTGGCTGAGTATTACTGACGTAGCCTAAATTAATCATAAATAAGAGTCAAACAGTGCTGGAAAAATTATTCTGAAAGCTGTGAAAAGAATTAGTTTTCTTAAATCGTTTTATAAGTGACTGGAGCTTTAGAAACTTTTAATCCCACTGAAATGTAACTTTTTCTGAAAAATATGTACAGTTTACATGATAATTTTATTCATCTCGGACAAATAAGATGGCAACCACAAACTATAGATAATCATTTTAATCCGATAATAGAATTGGATGAATTGTGCAAAATCTATTGACAAGAGAACTATATAAATTTTGAAGGATTCTTGTCATTCGTTGCTACAATTGACTAGTTGAAATTATTGTTAGTTGCATCCAAAAACTCTTATTACTTCCTTATATACGAGGGGGGACCCAAAAATAACCAGAAACGACCTGTTGCGCGCGCATGCTTTGTAGTTACGAGTTGTGCTGCTATGTGGTGTTAGCTGGGGGTCTCCCGCGACTGTTAGTGTGCTGGCGTCAGTCTGAATTAAGTGGTTTGTCTGTGGTGCTCTGTTGTGTGCGTTCCTGTTTCAACCCTTTGGCGATTAGTGAGATGGCCGACCAGAAGGAACAAAGAGTGTGCGTGAAATTTTGCTTTCTGTTAGGGAAAACTGCAGCCGAGACTGTTGGGAAGCATCGGCAAGCCTTTAATGATGATGCTTTGGGGAAATCACAGGTCTACGAGTGGTTTTCCCGTTTCAAATCTGGCAACATGTCAACAGAAGACATGCCACGCCCCGGGCGTCCTTCGACAGGAAGAAATGACGAAAACATTGCCAAAATCAAACGTGCAATTGATGAAGATCGTCGAAAGACCATTGACCAACTTTCTGAGGAAACGAACATCTCATGGAGCACGGTCCAGCGAATTTTAACCGAAGGTTTGCACATGAGACGGGTGTCTGCAAAATTTGTTCCTCGCTTGCTCGGAGATGACCAAAGAGAAAACCGCGTGAATGTTTGCCGCGACTTGAAGAGTGAAGTGCAGTTTTCCCTAACAGAAAGCAAAATTTCACGCACACTCTTTGTTCCTTCTGGTCGGCCATCTCACTAATCGCCAAAGGGTTGAAACAGGAACGCACACAACAGAGCACCACAGACAAACCACTTAACTCAGACTGACGCCAGCTCACTAACAGTCGCGGGAGACCCCCAGCTAACACCACCTAGCAGCACAACTCGTAACTACAAAGCATGTGCGCGCAACAGGTCGTTTCCGGTTATTTTTGGGTCCCCCTTCGTATATATATATATACATACGAGATAAGGTAAAGTTGTCACTGTGCTTAACTAATTAAGCACTATGCCATGAAGGCGTATGGGGGAATGGATATATATGAGATACAACAGTCTTTAAAAGTATGATAATGAACAGAAAAGATCTGAGAACACACAGTGCTGGAGAGCAGAAATGTTAAGCTGGATGTTTCATGAGTCTGATTACAAGAAGCTGCAAGATGTCCTCTGAATTTACTCGTACTTCACTGTTGGTCACATTTTCACAGCATGTCTGAACTACTCATATGTAGTAAAGGTAGAGGTAAAGCTATCCCTGTAACAGGCCTTGGAGGCCCATAGGTTTGTGAGATGTCAAGGCTCCCCCATTTTCTAGACAATCGGCTCACAGATGGCGGTGAGGTTGTCAGCCTTATGCACAGACTGGCCACCCTTTAGCCCCATGAAGAGGAGAATTCATTCATTCATCTGTAATCTGTCAAGACGACATGTCCACAGTCTCTTCCAAAACAGTTCATCCACTTAATGAGATCTAGGGTTTTCTCCTTCAAATGAGAATATCCTCTTCTGTCCCCAAGGTCATCCAGCATCTTCTTGCGTCTTCTGGTCACTTTTATCCGCCCCTCTATCTTTCCTTCAATAACTTCTTTTAGAAGGCAGTTGCCGCATAAGATATGACCAATCCAATTAGCCTTCAGTTTTCCTATTTCATGTACGATATTCCTCTGCTCACTGACTCTAATTAACACTTCTTCATTTCTCACATAATCGGTCCAACTGATCTTCTCCATCCTTCTCCAACACCACATTTCGAAGCTCTCCAGGTGTTTCTGATCTACTGCCCTAAGTGTCCAAGTTTCAGCCCCATACAAAGCAATTCTCCAAATGTAGCATTTCACTAGTTTCTTTCTCAAATTTAAGTCCAATTTGCTGGTAAAAAGATTCTTCTGCTTGCTAAATGCTGCTTTTGCCACGGCAATCCTAGATTTAATTTCACACGTACACCTTCCATCATCTGTTAATAAGTTACCCAAATACTTAAAACATTTCACATTCTCCAGTTGTTTTTGGTCTATCTTTATTGTGACCAGGGTTGGTTGTCTCAAAATTTTCATTACTTTTGTTTTTTCCACATTCATTTCCATGCCATAGCACCTTCCAATTTCGATTAGTCTATCAGTCATACCCTGTAGCACAGTTTCTTCCTTGGCCATTAACACAAGGTCATCTGTATATTTCACAGTTTGATAATTTGCCCTCCTAATTTGAAGTCTCCAAGCCTGTCCAGAGCTTCTTTGGTAAGGCATTCGCTGTAAAAGTTGAACAGAACTGGTGATAAACAGCATCCTTGTCGAACTCCTCTTCCAATCTTCACACTTCTTATCACCCCTCTGTCCAGTCACACTCTAACTTTCTGACCCATGTACAATTTACTAATCAATCTTCTTTCACGCCAATCAATACCTGTTTCCTTTAGGATCTGCATTAATTTGGTCCAATTTACACGGTCAAATGCCTTCTGCCAGTCTATAAAGCAAGCACACAGTTCATCTATCTCCAAAGTTCGTTCTGCTATAATTCTCATAAGAGGAGAATAATGAAACATTAAAAATTTGTGTTTAGATCTTGAGCAGCGCCTGAGGGAAGAGAAAAATGCTCGACTCAAGTTGATTGTAACAGATGGCGTGTTCTCAATGGACGGGGACATTGCTCCTCTTGACAAGATATGTGAACTTGGTGATAAGTACAATGCATTGGTGTTTGTTGATGAAGCTCATGCTACAGGCTTCTTTGGTAAGACAGGAAGGTATGAATATATATTGCATAACTGTGTGGATGTGTATCACTGTTTTCAACAACTGAATGGTGAACCTGTGACATGTATAACAGATCAAGCTTGTTATGCCAGCATGGCAGTGTCCAGTTCAACTGTCCAAATCTGTTTTTTCAAGTCACATATCCCATACATATCTTCCTCAATTTGAATACACTAAAAGCAATATTGTTTGAAGAGAATAAATTATGAAGCACCACATTATCTGACAGTAATTTTCTCCATCTTTTTGTTATTTTCTCTCTCTTACACCCAAATACTGTCATCAGTACTTCATTATCAAATAACCATAGCTTATGCTCTTTTGCTAAAGAAGTGATATTTCATTACTTTTGGGAGATGTAATTTAATATAACCACCACAATGTATACACAGAGCAGTGTTTAAACACAACTAGCTACAATTATTTGAAAGACCTTAAGGGATAAATCTGACTTGGTTCTTCTTGGTCCATCACACTAGTAACAGTATAAATCATCCAATGTGACTGATTGATAGTCCTTCTGAAGATGGTCACTATGACCAGAACACGTAAAGGATGAAAGATTGGAAAAACACAACATTTATCAATCATACTGGATGGCATTAATAAACCTTTAAACCTCAAGGGAGATAACTAGGAAGGCTGCTGGCAAACATTCGAGGATAATATTAAAATACTAGTGTAATACCCGTTCAGAATTCATTATGAAGTTTCATCATTTGTTATATAAGATTTCATACCATGGTCTTCACTTCCTGTATACTACATTTCACACATCTGCAACAAAATATCATCAGAATTTACATGTAAGTTTTGAGGTTTTCACGGCGATGACAATGAAGAAAGTTGTCTTCTGGGTTTAGGCACCGTGTATTCTTCGTTTTGGCCGACGTTTCGGAGGAACGTAGCGCCTCCATCTTCAGAGCAGTTGAATAGCTGCGGAGAGCAGTAGCTAGTACGTTCCTCCGAAACGTCGGCCAAAACGAAGAATACACGGTGCCTAAACCCAGAAGACAACTTTCTTCAGAATTTACATGGTTCACAGCTTCCTTGTTCATGACTTTCAATATAACTTACATTCAAGCAAAGCATTAACGCTCCAGTTTATTGCTATAGTCACCCAAAATTGCATGACAACAATACATCTCATTCTTACAAAACCAAAGGGCATACAACAGCGGGGTTTGGTATAACAGTAATGCTCTCAACTTTTATTTGGGAGATGTTTGCTTTGAATCTTGCACAGGACATCATCCAACCGACCGTTTTTCGCAGTTTTGCTCAGTCCCTTCATTAAGACACTGGGAGAGTACCTCAATTATGTCATGACTGCTTACTTTCGAATTCATCATTTGTCAGTCATTCCACCATTCAACACTATATAGCCTACCTACTGCACAGCATCATAAAATCTCTCCCCAAATGCATGAAGTTGTTGAATGGATTCTTCTGCATCAATATGAGGTCCAGTTGCCAGTGCTCATGAATAAGCATGGTAATAAACCTTGTGAGTTCCATAAAGGACAGTGAAATTCTTTGACAACCTGAACAAGAATTAGCATGTGCTAAAATCTTCTTGGGTGATCAGCCATGTCAATGCTGAACTAAAATCCAACTTTCAGAGATCTCCTTGGTCTCCATCATCACGGTTGATGTGGTGAATGTATGTGGCCATATTCATGCCTCCCCTTATTGATGTACTATGCAGTAAGAGGGCAAAGTCAAACTGTGCGGTCACCGAACCAACCCTAATCCATCAATGTTACTTAACCTGGTGTCAATTATTTTGTATTCTTTTTAGCATCCCCTTCTCATCTTACATAACTATTAGCATCTCAAACATGACTCTGCACCATCTAGTTACAGAGGGAGGCAGGAGGAAAGGATAACTTACTATGAATCCATGAAGATGAAGCCACAAGTGAGGCCCAAACCTTGATGTGCTGCAACCCCTGATAAAGCCATACATACATGCATTTTGTAAAGCAGTGAAGTGTTGCATCTTTCTTAACCAATGAATATGTGTTCACAGAGGGACAGAAGAATACCATAACATAATTGGTAAAGTTGACATCATCAACTCTACCCTGGGGAAGGCAATGGGCGGTGCATCTGGTGGTTATACAACAGGACCAAAGGAGTTAATTGATTTACTGCGCCAGAGAGGGCGACCATATCTCTTTTCAAATAGCCTTCCTCCACCTGTTGTAGCTGCAGGAATTAAGGTCAGCATTGCAGTTAACTCTTTCATTTGATTTAGTTTAATTAAAGTAAAGGTTATTCTTTCTACGGCTCAGTTGTTGCCCTTTACTTTTTTTAAGTTGGCACCCTGATGTGTGTGTGTGTTAATATTATATTGTCTTATTAGTTTTGCACAGATGGCTAATAAACAAATCATTTATCCCATTTTCATGTTGTAAACTGCTCATAGGCCTTCGACATTGTCTTAAACAGCAACAACCTTGCTGAACGTCTGAGACACAACACAAAACGATTTCGAGATGCGATGACCAAAGCTGGTTTCACAATTGGTGGCAGCGACCATCCCATCTGCCCAGTTATGCTATATGAAGAACGCCTGGCAAGTGTATTTGCAGATGAAATGCTTGGTGAGTTGCAGCCCCATCTGTATTAAACTTATAAAAGATAACACAACTCCATCTAGTGTGACTGTTGAAGATTTTACTACTTCAATTCTTCAACAGTCACACTGGACAGAGTTGTTTTATCTTTTACAATATTGTTAGTGTGACGGACAAGAATGAAACAAATCAAATTATTAAACTGTTTCACAGCACCAGGATGTAAATGCTTAACTTTGGGTATTACTCCCATTTGAAACCAGTTAATTTCAACCAAAACGAACAGTGGAACAGGCTACAGCTGAGAAAGTAAAGCTTGTGTGATGGCATAACATTGCTTATTTATGAATAAATCTAACGGACAACCTTTCATAATGTTAATATTAGATGCTGCTTAATTTCTATCTTTTTCCAGCAAGAGGAATCTATGTGATTGGATTCAGCTATCCAGTGGTTCCTAACGGAAAGACAAGAATCCGGGTCCAGCTGTCCACGAGTCATTCAGATGAAGACATTGACAAAGCTGTGAATGTATTTGTTGAAGTGGGGAAGAAACTTGACGTCATCTCATAACACTTGAAATCATTCCACCAAGTTTGAAGAACATTAAGCACGATTTTCTCAAGGGAACAGAAAATTGGGGTTTCCTATGAAACCAATTACATTCCAATTTTCCAAGAACTACATAGCCTGTAGCACCAGACTAAGCTTAAATCTTCCATTAACCACAGTGAAGACACCAAAGTGATAGAAAACTGACAAGGCAGATGATGAAAATATCACAAGAAAGCATTCCCTACACACAGCAGTATGTCAATCAAAACTGCAGTAGCCAATCTTTGGCCTTTAACCCTGTGAAGCTTGAAGTACATCTGAATAGTATTTAAAAATTAAGTTTTCACACTTCATATAAAATATACTCTTTATGAGTGGCCTCTGTAGTCTAGGGTTAACGTTCCCACCTCATGACTCAAGGTACGCGGGTTCAAACCCGGCGGAGGTCGTGGAATTTTTAAGGGTGGAAAATTTCAGGGAACAAGTCCTCCGGGAGGGACTTAAGCCATGGGCCCCGTGTCGTAGACTTACGGCACATAAAAGATCTTCATGTCTCTAGGAGACCTCTTAGGAAACAATTTCCTGCCCAAGTAGTTTCCAATGCCTCTGGTAGATGGGGGAAATATCACTACCGACGGCCGACCTCATTGGCTGAACGGGACTGATAGCACGCTTTCCAACCGGTACGGTATGGCGACAGTAGAAATTAAAGGGGGACGCACAATGGACCAATAACTGGTCTAAGTGCATGGGGAAACCCACCCCTCTAATAATAATAATAATAATAATAATAATACTGTCTCTATCATAAAGGCAAACCAATTAATTCTGGGTAGGGAAAATACTGATGTTTATTCAACCAATCATGAAACTAAGGGTGGAAATTGGGGTAGACCCAGACACACAGCACCTATCTAGTTCAAGAGTGCTTCATTTTGAAGAAGCTACTTCCACTGCCTTAAGGTGTCAACTATCATTCCCAACAATGATACTTGCAGGAGTAAATTCACAAGACCAGATGGTAAATTTCCTTTTAATGTGATGCTAATTCCCCTAGGCTGTTCCACTGCTCTAGTGTGTGTACCTAGTTCAGTAAAGCCATTTCACCCCTATGCAAAACCTATGCATATATTCAGTGAGCAAAATACAATGTGTTTGTATTATAAAGCAGGTAGTACATATAGTCATCACCATACTTCAGGGTGTTAAACGGAGAAGAAATCGAATAGTAAAGAAAAATTGTGGATAAAGAAAATATGCTAGAAATAACTTATTCTGTTTTCTTTTAAATATGTCAGTCTATATGGGAAGATCAACCGCCTCTGTGGTCTAGTGGTCAGAGTTCCTGCCTACCGATCCAGAGGTCTGGATTCGATTCCTTGCACTACCAGATTTTCTGAGTAGTGGGTCTGGAACAGGGTCCACTTAGCCTCGTGAGGATAACTGATGAGCTATTTCAAGGAAATGGTGGCTACGGTCCAGAAAACCGAAATTAACAGGCATGGGGATTCGCTGAGCTGGCCACGTGACACCCTCTATCCACTAAAGTTGGCACTAACTTCGCTGACAAGTGGCGGTCGCTTGGTCGATAGTTTGCTTGTGTATTAAAACCACAGTTTCTTTTTTATATGGGGAGGTCTTTAATAATTATAAATTCAACATATAAAAATTTCCCTGTACTTATTTAATTAAGCACTATGGTATGAAGGCATACAGGGGAGCAGCGGTAAAGCTCCGTCATTCATAGCACTGGCAACAGATGAAGGTGAGTAGTCAGCTTCATGCCACTGGTGCTTTATTCCCAGCAACAGAGCCCCCAGTATCCACTGGATAGGTGGCTGGCTGGAAATCAGAGCCAGTTTTGACTCTCTGAAGAATGGAAAAATCTCCTGCCACTGCTGGGATTAGAACCCAGATCATCCAGCTCATAGTCTAGTTGCTAGTTCAGACTCAGCTATCCAAGCTTTTCATTAAAAAAAAGTACAGATCTCGAATAACAGTACTGGCGCACACCAAGAGTTCATTTTTCAGTACAGCAAACCCTCGTCAATCTATTTACAGTTAATCCAGAATGAAATATGAAAAACTCTGTTCACAGTTGAGTACACCAAGTACTTTAAAAGACACACGGCACTTACGAAGGCAGGACAAAACTTGACAGTTTCTTCAAACCTCTATTATTAAGTTCAAAAACAAGTACAACTTCTGTCTTCCATCGATAAACAAATGTAATGCGTACTTTATCTTCAACTCTTACATTCAATGATTTTTTCCTTCACCGTCTGGCTTCAAATCCTGATACAGGGCTGAGTCTTGCCATTTTCTCATGCACTCTCTCATCCCTGTCTTCTCTTCACAGGAGGGATTCTTATATGTTAATTTTATTAATTTAACATGTTTACATTAAATACTATATACACATACATTCTTTGCCATTTGAGCTACAAAAATATGTTATTTTATTCAAAATGTTGGATATTAGATAATAAAATGGCACTGAAATTGCACTGAACATTGTTCCCAAAACACTCCACTTCTTGCCATGCTTCATTATCATCGTTACTCCTTTTTGGTAGTTTATTTGATGTTATTGTCACTGACTATACAGCATCAAACGGAGGGACGGTAAATGAAATGGAAAGGATATGGAAGTGGCCTAATTTAAGTACTATCCTAGCATACACCTAAGGGATCAAAGAAGAATATGGCAAAATCTCAGCCAGGAAAGACAATGTCCTGGCTGAGACTCAAACCATGCACTTCCTGAATGTAAATGCAGAGCATTCTGCTAGACAAACCTGTTTGGTACCAAGATTCAGCACCAACCTTGTGACTTGACAAGTGAGCACCACATGAAACAGATCATGACAATATTCTTCCAGTGCAACTTCTGGTGATTTTACTCTTAACATCTGCTTCACAATGCCACATACACCAGTCTCCTTACATTCACAGCAACTAGGAAGTAACAGTATTTCTATTGAGGTTACGGTCTTCTGTGATGACATCATGTAGTCTGGCAAACAGGTACTGACATATCAGAGCAAACCTGCTGCTTGCACCTCCAAGACAGAAAAGTGAGACAAATGGGGAAGAAGGGATAAGAGAGGGGGAGGGGGAGTCCCCTATTCCTGGTTCTCCCTTCCCATTACCATGATACCTATCTACCAAACTATACGGTGTCACATTCCTGAACACAGAATTAATTAACAATTTTTGTCATAAGAACCTGAAATTGTGGTAACATTTTATCTTTTTGTACTTCCCCTAGTTAAACCAAAGCAATCATACACATTAAAAATATTAAAGAAAATACTATAGAAATAATTCAATATGGCTACCATTAACAAATTCATATAACATCCAGCATTTACAGTATAATGATCATATACGTAAACTTGAAAACACAGATAGGAAAGCTGTAACCATGAAGGAAGCTTTGTAGCCTTGACAACATAAATTCCAATCTTGAAAATCTCATGAAGTGTACACCAACAGTAAACAGAAAATAACAGTTTCTTCCTTCGTCATTTCCCTGCATACATAGTGATTAAATTAAGGAAGCTCCGAATTAATAATTATAGAACAATAAAGTTGTCCCTATGCTCAATCAATCAAGCACCACACCATGGGGTAGTGGAGGTATAACTCCATCATTCTTCACCTTGGCACTAGATGGCGGTGAGTGATCAACTTCATGTCCTGGCTGCTTCACAGCCAAGGAAAGAGCCCCTGGTGTCCAATGGACAGTAGGCTGGGTGGAACCCACAGCCAGTCTGGATAATGTGGAGTACAGAACAATTTCTTGCCCCTGCCAGGAACTGAAACCCAGCCACCCAGTCCATCACTATACTGAGCTATATGCAATAATTTACCAATGGAAATGAAGCTTTGTAACATTATGTACTTTGCAAAACTGATCTGGTGCCCGACTGCCTGGTTTGTGATTCCACATACCGTGAAGTGGAATAATTTCTATCAACATGCAACATCGTGTCATCGTGCCTGTGTCTCCAGATGGAAGGAAACCAATTTCAACATCATGTGTAACCCAATTATCTCCACTTCTATGAAGGTACATACCCAACAAGTTTTGTTTTAATCGATAAATTACCACAGTTTATGATTATTAATTTGGGGCCTCCTCCAACTGAATCACCCTGCAGTACAATCAAAGTAAACACATACTCCACATTCCTAAAGCATTTGATTTATAGAAAGAATTCAATATGGCAACTACGAACAAATTAATTTACATCCAACTTATCATGATCACACACACACAAATCTGAAATAACGGGTATACTGTAATCGTGAAGAATTATTCATTTTGATAACTGGAAACGGTGTTTTTATGTGCAGATCAGAAAACACTATGAAGTGTACATTTTAAGAAAAATCTGACTCGGTGAATCTCATTTATTTGAAGATTTACTTAGCCAACTTCTGTTTAAGCCTGGAACAAAATTACTGCTGCAAGAGACTCTTGAACAGTGAGCTGAATGTCAAAAGTAAGAGCTGCTTTCACAATATTTTGTGGCACACAGCCCTAATTTTACTCTCAGAAACTTCATTCTCATTTAATTCTTTGTATTGCATGCTTTCTCTTAAAGATGTGCAAGGCTAGGGGAGAGCTTGCAGCCCTTCACTTTACTGGCAGACAAAACAGTAGCAACACGACATGGCTCTCAGACATTATGTACATGGACAACTTGTCCACTTTTTATTATGTTCAGTCAATATATTTTTGGCCTTGTTAATTTTGCCAACAACTTTCCATCCATAGCTATTTTGTCTGAATACTGGTTTGTTCAGTAATAATTTTCTTTAGTTCATGTTAGGTCCTGTTTTCCACCTCCAACATAAGGCTCACCAGTTGCCAACTTCCTCTGCTCCGCCCCAAAGCAATATTGCAATGCTCTAAGCACTATCATGACCACAACTAGTCACTCACTCTCCAAGAACCATTTTAACATTGTCCTCCCACCTATACCTTGGTCTTCCTAATAGTCTCTTTCCTTCTGGCTTTCCCACCAATATCCTATATGCATTCCTCTCCTCCACCATATGACTTACATGCCCTGACCACCTCAGCCTTCTTGACTTGCTCATTTTCATTATATCTGGTCAAGAGTACAAGTTATGAAGCTCCTCATTATGCAGTTTTCTTCAGTCTCCTGTCACTTCATCTCTCTTGGATCCAAATACAAGGGCAAATAGAAAAGTCATTGCCCCTATTTTTTTTTTCAGCCACAGCCAGAGGTTCATTTCTAACGACGACGCGAACACCGCTGTCCAGCAGTGCTTCCACGCTCAACCGGCCGAATTCTACAACAGCATCATCTCCAAACTAGTTGTGCGATAGGACAAATGCCTGAACCGGGGTGGTGACTATGTGGAAAAATAGTCAAAGGTACTTAGAACACTGTCTGTATTTTGATTTCCATGTATCCGTATTATTGTGGCTGAAAAAAAAATAGGGGCATAGACTTTTCGATTTGCCCTCATATTCTCCTTAGCACCCTGTTCTCAAACAACCTCCCTTAATGTCAGAGACCAATTTTCACACCCATACAGAACCACAAGCAAAATTATAGTTTCATATATTCTAATTTTTATGTTTTTAGACAGCAGACAAGAAGACAAAAGATTCTGGACTGAGCAGTAGCAAGCATTACGTGAATTCAATCTCCTCTTAATTTCCTCCTGAATCAGGTTTTGATTTGTTGTAGTCATTCCCAAATATCTGAACTGTGCCATATTTTCAGAACATCTGTTAGCTATCTTTATGTCATGATTTTGCCTTGCATTCTGGTGATGAGACCACAACATATACTTAGAGTTTCTCTGACCACAAATAACAAAAAGGTAAAACCGTTCCTATGCTTAATTTAATTAAACACTCCACCATTAATATTTATGGACAAATGGGGGTATAACACAGTGCAGTACTTAACCTCAACACTTGATGGATGTGAGTGGTTAGCTTCATGCCCTGGATGCTTAACCCCTTGAGGAAAGAGTTGCCAGTATCACTGGATGGGCCTCGCAGCCAATTTGGACTTTGCGGAAAAAAATAAAAATCCCTTGCCCTTGCCAAAATCTCAACCACCAATACTATGTAATTAGGAGTTTATCTTATTTCATGAGTAAAAAATTTTTACAAATGGTGTATCTTTCTTATTTCCACTCTATTCTTAAGTATGGAATAATTTTCTGGGGCAACTCAACGAATAATGTCAGAGTTTTTAAATTACAAAAAAAGTAATAAGAATTATGTCTGGCATGGGACCTAGAGACTCATGTAGGAATATTTTTAAGAAATTGAATATACTGCCATTGTCATGTAAATACATTCTCTCGTTGATGATGTTTGTGATTGATAATCAAACTAAATTTTGTACAGGTTTAGATGTTCATGGTTTGAATACAAGAAATTGAAAGCAATTATATTTGCCAAACTCGAATCTTTCTGCTTTTCAGAAAGTTACTATGTTTACCGCCATTAAACTGTTCAACAGATTGCCCATAAACATTCAAAGCCTTAAAGAGGATAGAATTAGTTTTGAAAATAAGCTGTCTTTATATCTTATGAATAATTCCTTTTATACAGTTTCTGAATATGTGGAGCATAACATAAACAATTAGTTTTAATTATTCTGTTATCTGTGTGTTTGTTTAAATTTTTTGTATTTGTTTTTTCATATGACGACCTTCATGTCCATTGGTTTTGGACTTGTGAAATGAAATGTATGTATGTATGTATGTATGTATGTATGTATGTATGTATGTACGTATGTGTGGGAAAGGAGTCAATTTAACACATCCTGATGGTAATAAAATTGTTTCCAAAATCTTCATTTAACTCCTCCAAGTATCAAAATCGGCTTCTCTTTACTGCTGTAATACGTGCCATTATTTTCACTTGCTGAAAGTCTGCTGATGATACACTTAATCACCATTCTTACAGTAACAAATGCGTTTCTACTGCTTCAGAGAGAATACAGCAGTAGTCGCTACAATTCAATCTTTCCTCAGTATTGTAAGACAATACAAACAAATCTGCATGAAATAAGCACAACAGACAACCTACAGTTGTGGATATAAAAAAAAAAGTGGACAAAAATGCAGGACAAATTCTTCATGGGCCAAAGAAGGTAAACAAAACGTTCTGGAAGCCATGACACAATTGTTGGCAACAGAAAATGGCTGACATTGTCCACTTATGCTGCCAGCACTATGTTTTGCACCCTCCCCTGGAAGTGGTAGTGTTCTGGTGTACAAGTACATGGCACATCAAACAGGAAACAAAACTTGTATAACTGGCGATCCACAAAACACACTGAAATCACCATGCTATGTTCATCAATTTAACTCTGTCACTAACCAGATCAACCTCTTTCAGTGAGACATTCTTTCTGCAATTAGTGAAATTAAAAGGATGAGATTATCAAACATACAAATGCACAAACACACACAATGAACATTCCAAATAATTCTGCTGTCACAATTGTTGTTATTTAATTTTACAGATGACATACTGCTCACAACCTCATTCAACACAATAAATGTGTCAAAACTCAACTTGGCAGCACTGTAGCAAGTGTTTTTATATAAGATAGTCAATATATTTAATATACACTGAGGAGGCAATTCAGACCGACTGCAAATCTAACATAAAGAATAATTTTTGGAAAATGGTTGTAATATCACTCTATTTTAAGTACTTTCATAACTACCACCAGGTCTGCAGNCTGACGAAACATACACGACGAACCACGGCAACGGGTTAAAAGTGTAATCCATTTTTGTGAAAAAGTTTGTTTGAGTAGCACTGCATCATACAACTTAGGAATTGTCGCATATTACCAACATGTTTTTTTACATATTTACAGTGAGTTTCTCCTGTGATCACTCATTCAGGATGAAGTCAGATGCTCCTGCCATCAAGTTAAATAGTTAAATTCACAGTAGCACTGTCTAGATAGATATTGCAGTTTTACCACCATACAAAATGTCACAGGGTAGTAGTTACTACTATCAAATGGGTATGTAGATACACATTTTATATGGCCATTTTGTTTAATTTCCATTTTATGCTCGAACGCTTTCATAACAAGAAATGCTGCTGATGTTTCAGAGATCTACCAATGAAAAAAACTCAGGATTGCTCTTACCTCAGAAGTTCACATGATCCCAATATTGGTACATTCAAACTAGAGAGAGGAATGAAGGTTACTATTGTAACCGTACAATGCAAAGGACTACAATGTTTTGTTCACATTTGTCGGTACTTGTCGCTACATCAAAGCAGAAGTAATACCCCACTCAAACCAGAGGGACCTGAACCCTTTCGCAGTTCCGAGATGGTAAAGTTTATGACGGGTCACAATCCCCGGACTGAAACCCAAACCAGCCCCACTCTCTCCCTACTTTTAGAAAGAGCCATAAGCTCTAATAAAAGAGAAATCTGTCCAAAAGACGTTGGAGAGAACCTTTTGTCACGTAGAGAGATGGCCCTCTGACCGGTCATAACTCTCCAAATGTTCAAAACCGCTTTTAGGAAGGAGCGGCAAATTGTTTCATTGGTAGAGGAAAGGGACCAATTTTCAACACCCGATTCATCACGGACCTACCCTTAAAAGACCGTGAGACTGAACCCTCTCAATCCACCCCGGGTCAGAAAGACTGTGAAACCGTGTGAACCCAACTTTCGCCGCGAAACAGCTGACCATTGGAGGAATGAGAAACTCTGTCGAACCCTCCCCACATTGTCTAAATCCAGCCAACCCGGAGATTTGGAGGATGACAACAACGTTTTCCCCAAATTTTCGCAGGACCTCTGAATCTGCAAAAACAGGGAGTCAGTTCTTTTAAAGAGTCTCGTAACAATAGTTAAACTCGCCGGACGCGGAGCTAGCCCTCTCCATCGTCTGTTAAGTGAAAATAGTGTTCAAACAACGGGTGGAGATCATGGAGAAGTAACAAACTGAGTTGTATCTCAGTGACGCCCGGATTACAAACCAATAAAGGAAGTGGTGCCAAGTGTTTGTGTGTCCAGTGTGTTCTTTTCTCGTCGGAGTAAGGCCATAAACGACCTGAGCCAGAGTCTCACGCCAACCACGACTAGCCCGATCACCATCAGCTCCCACCCCATCCACCTTTTCCCTTCACTTCGCAGCTGTACCCACAGTTGCTGGCGCCCATAGACAAATCAGGCCAAGTCCCGGACCTGATACCCCTTTCCATAGTGAAGAGAAGTGGTGGAGTTGGAGAAGCGGTGGAGCCAGGTAAAGCCGACTTAGCTGCAAGCTCCACGACCAACGACGGCAGCGGCGAGAACGACAAGAGAAAGGAAGGAAGGTAAAGAGTAGCGACCAACAGGTGTGGCTCGAAGCCTCACAGGGTGGGATGGTAAGACTATCTACCGGGATGTGATGCTATGTAGTCTAGTAGATAGGTACCAACATTATGGAGGAACTTGGTGCATCCATCTTCAGGAAAGAAGATGAGACCATCATGTTCTTCCAAACAATGCTACCTATCTACCAAAACAAAAGCATCACATTCCAAGACCACAAATCTTTACTCATTGACATGAGAACCTCAAATCATGTACAGAAAATAAGGGTATGCTGCTGAGGTGGTCTGGGATGGAATAATATTCACACTAGTTCCATCAGAAACAGAAATGTCTCAAAGATTATTTAAGGTGACACATGAAGATCATGGCACTATAAAATTACAAATGCAAGATAAAACCTCAGTGTTTAAGTCATAATTCTGTTGTAATGAAGTTTAATTCCCAACTGGCTCCAGACCTCTATGTTCACACTGATTAACTGATATTCAAGTTTACAGTTCTATTCTTCAATTAGTACATTACTGTAGATTGAATTCTGTATACAAGGCTTCAATGAAGTGAACTTGTGTTGTGGATTGTTCCAACTTGACAGAAGAAGTGTTCAACGCTTCTACCCAAGTGTGTGATTGCAAAAGATTTCACCAAATAATATGCAAATCCTTTCTTCACATTTTCTGGGTATAAAACCAAAAAGTACAAAACAAATTTATCTGAAGTCCAAGTGAGATTAAAATATGAGTTAATAAAAGTTAATAATTCTGTGACAGAGCTATCTTTCAATATGACACTTAAAATTTAAAGTACTACAAATTATGTAAGACAGTTACTACAATTCTGGCCACTATTTTCACAAAATATATTCATGTATGTCAAATATACTCCCCTTCCACTGTTGCACAATGCAGAGGAAAATAAAAGTATGAGACGATAAACATTTCACTTGAAAATAGATGTTCATAACTTATGTCAGTACAGTATAAGCAATTAATACGTATATAAAAGTATAACTGGAACAAGAGAATTGCAGGGGAAACAGACAACAATATCTGTAAAGAACAACTTTAAGCACTGTCATCATGTACGGTGACAGAGCAGTGAAGTAACAGCACATGCCGGTTCAACATCTCACACTGCTGTGAATAATGCAATCAGTACAATGTAGCTGCAACATTCACATTTTAAACCAGTTTTTAATGTAAACATATGAAACATGAATAAATCTTATTTGAGAATAAAATACATTAGTTCGATACATTGCATCACAACCTGATACACAACTGCTGCAACTCAACATACCTGTAGCTGTCATCAACTGGGATAAAGTTGTTTTATAATGATCTATCAACTGTTACGGTACTTCAACATCAGCAAAATGGTTGGTGTTAGTTAAGATGATGGATGGCATGAAAGAAAGTAATCCTCAAGCTCAATTTACTTGCAAGTTCATGCCAAAACCTGCACAAATGTTATAATCTTAACATTTAAGGCAATCATTTACTTGGCACTGTTCAACATCATGGCATCTTAACCAGAAGTACACCTGGTATGAACACTTACACTGAACACTGTAAGATTACACTGATGCCAACATGTATCAGTCTTATAATAAATGTACAATGCTGTGTTAAGTGTTAGTGGTTTATTTGCACCACCATAGGCAGTCATTAACCCTTTAATTTGTATATTTTCTTACAATTCACAGAGCCCAAAGTCATGTTCTTTTACACTTTCATGCTTTCAATACACAATTAAACTTACAATCCTGTCGCATATGCGACGAATGGGAAATATTAGTGCAGCATAGCACTTTTAGCATAGTAAGACACCTGAAGATGGCCATTTAGGGCTGAAACATGTGTCGTAGGTGAGAATGTAAGAAAAACAGAACAATTTGTTGCATAGTCGATGGACTGTGTAGTACAATACACAGTATTAGAATCAAATTTAATACACAAGAAACTGTATAATTCATTATAATCACTCTTTACCAAATAATTCTAATTGCTGAGAATTTATGAACGTTTAGTAGCAATCCTGTATCTTTACTGTGCCTCCATAATTACAGGAAATGTTGACAGAAGTGTCTTAAATTTTTCATAACCAAAAAATTCAAAGAATATAAATCTCAAATTAGTTTCACAGAATAATGAAAGAAAGTATCCACAAGTAACTAAAACCCCAATGAGCAGGTTCCTCAGGAGCTATCAGTCACATATTTAGCTAAGAAACTTCCTTGCCTTTAACTGAACCTACTGTTCATTGCTATGTTAACAAGAGCTCATCACAGGACCATAACCCAAGCAAGATGTATATCCAGTCCATGCTTGTATACTGTGCTCTAGGTTGTGATGCCATGCAGTCTGGTAGATCATTAACCAATGTTCTGGAGGGGGCAAAATGCCTCCATCTTCCAGGGCAAAGGAAGACTCTAACCATGGAGGCAGCACATTAATCCAAACATTGTTTAACAACCTACCAAACTACATATCATCATATCTCACAAGACAGTACCTTCATAGCCACCACTTCGTCAACCTCAAATATTGCAAATCTAGTCAAATCCTGTGTCTGTAAGATCCATTTTAATACTGCCTTCCCATCTAAATCTAGGTCTTCACAGTGGTCTCCTGATTTTCTAACCATAATTCTGTTAAGCATTTCAGATCTCACACAGCCTATCTCACTTTCCTTGATTACATGACCCTAACAATATCCGGTGAAGAGCACAAACTGTGAAGTTCCTCAACACCACAAAATTTTCTCCAGTCTCATGTCACTTCCTTCCTCTCAGCCCCCAGTTCTCAAACACCTTCAATCTCTGTTCTTGTTTTCAGGCAAGTATCCAAGAGTCATACCCATATAGAATAAAAACTGAATTTACAAATTTGTATATTTTAACCTTCTTTATTTTAGTTATAAGCTGGGAAGATAAAATTAACATGCTCAAAAATTTCTTTGTAAATGTAATTTTCATTTGTTACAGTTATTCCCAGTAATTTTGTCACATTTTCACTACCTGCACATTTATTACTCACCCCCCTCTAGTGCCAAGGTCCAGGAAGGCAGAGCTATGCCTCTACTGCCCCACATGTCTTCATGTTATAGTGCTTGACTAATTAAGCACTGGGACAACTTTAGCTTTTACAACTTTATGATATGATTTTGAAGTGGATTCTGATGATGAGACACCATGCAAACATACGCGTGCATCACCTCCACCTAAATTTACATGTGTTATGTGAAAATATCAAAGAGTTAATTTTGGTAGGCTGCCTGACCTTCAGAGAGAGAACACATCTGTAATTTGTATTCATATTATATAAACTCTCCATGTCGCTGGAAGTACTGATCTCCTGAGTTACAACAATGGTATCACTTACCAAGCAACGTCATGACTCATCAGTTGAATGCACTTTGCGATGGCGAGTCATCTCCAGACACCTCAGTTCCTGCCGAGAACACAGCAACAATTTAAACATGGAAAAAGGCAAGCAAAATCAGTGCAATAAATATATGTATAATAATTCTATATATGAATATGTGCCACTGTTCATACATTCACTCATTCATTTCATTTATTTTCCATATATCCACACAGGTAAGAAACCTAAATGTGGAAATAGTCCCTTTGAGAATAGATGTGTCCAGATACATATACTAAATTACATGAGTTACATAATTAAAATTACTTACATTAATCAGTTAAGATAAATAATAATATAAAATAAAAACCTTAATAAGATTTTAATTAATAAACATTTAAAAAGAACATTACTATAAAACTTAAATTAATACAATTTTATTTAAAATACCTAAGTTAACTGAATTAAATGCATGACACATTTACACACTTATGTAAATGTGTCACGGAATAAAAAGAATTATGATATAAAAACCTCTTCAGTGCAGACTTCAAACTTCTCTCATCAGTAGCCAACATTACATATCCATGTAGTGCAAGTGAGAGGGTGAATCATGAACAAATAGATACAGCAAACTGTTATCTTCACCCCATGGTACATGATCAATGCTGTGTGCTAATGTGACACCGAATCAGAAAGAATTAAAATTTATATTAAAATTAAATGAGTCAGGATAACTCAGTTTTTACACAACAGGCTACGGACTCCACGGCCTGATCAGGTTCTACATAGTGCAAGATTTTTTCTTCTCCACAAGGTGCGGACTGCCTCTGGAGCCCACCAAGTCTCCTATCCAGTGGTACTAGGGACTCTTTCCCCCAGAGGTTAAGTGGTTGGGGGGGGTAAGCTGACCACTCACCTCCATTTAGTGCCAAGCTCAAGAAAGGTGGCATTACCACTCCCTCCATACATCTTCATGGGATAGGGCTGAAGTAATTATGCACAGAGCTAACTTTACCCTTTTATTAAAATTAATTCATAATAAGAAGGGACAGAGAAGTAATGGAACACCATGGATTCGGATGCAGCACTGACCTTCTGTTGTCTGAAGCTGCAAGGAGGAGACGGCCTCAGAGGATGCTGGTATGTCGAGGCTTGGCTTGCTGATGATTCGACTAATTTGCGATAAGAGCAAAGTTTCATTCCTTTCAAGGTGATTAACCTGGGTCTGTAGCTCCGTCACCTTCCCACTCAGCTTACTCAGCTCCTTCTCCCCATTGGTCACCTGTGACACAGACCACAGTTTGTACTGTACAATACACAGGTTCATTCATTCATTCATTCATTCATTCATTTATTGTATATTCCATAAATCCATATACATAGATATAGAACCAGTCACATAATTAATATAGTACAACACAAATATAAATATATATGTACAGTTTATAATCATTAAAATAGATAAAAAACATGTGTTAAATTTATATAAAAAAACAGTCTTACGTCACTATACATAAAATTATGCAATATTAAAATTGTTTATGCTGTTATCCTTATTTCTAGGCAAATTTGTTACTAAAGAATTCATCACCTGTATAAAAAGAGTTTTGCAATAAAAATGTTGTCAACTGAATTTTAAAATTTTTCAAGTCATTAGACATAGATTTGATTTTTGGTGGCAAATGATTAAAGATCTTTACCCCCATGTAACATATTCCTTTTTGGAATTGTGTCAGACTAGTTTGCGGATAATGCAGATCACAGATAGATCTGGTACTACAATTATGCATTTGTGAGTTGAATGTGAACAATTCCTTATTTACTATGACAAACAGAGAGATCGACAATATATATTGAGCTTGTAGGGGGAGGATATCCAATTCTTGAAACAAACTACGACACGATGTTCTCTTTGTTGTATTTGTTATAATCCTAATTATCCTTTTCTGCATCCTAAACACTTTTATACTATGCGGGGAGTTACCCCAGAATATTAATCCATACGTTATTATAGAATGTACATAGGAAAAATACATCATTTTTAATGTCTCCAGTGGTAAAAAGGATTTAACTGATCGGATTGCAAAACAGGATCTGTTTAACTTATCAATTACTGCATCAATATGACTTTCCCACGTTAAAAAATTTTCAATTTTTAATCCCAGAAATGATATATTAGAAATACTTGAATTGAATTGAATTGGAATCTGATTGTTTAAATAACTAACTTGAACATTTAAGTTTTTACTGTTTTTAGTTTTAAACTGTAGAAAATAAGTTTTTTCATAATTTATTACTAGCTCATTTTTCCTAAACCATTCATTTATCATCTCAAATAATTTATTTATTCTAATTTTAAATGTTGCAGGATTCTTATCAAAGATAAGGATACTTGTATCATCTGCAAATAATATTGGTTTGGATAGGGCAGATATAATTTTTGGTAAGTCATTTACATATAGTAAAAAGAGCGCTGGGCCTAATACAGGTACTGAGAGGGCCTGGGTAAACACAAGTAGAAGTGAGAGGGTCTGGAAAATATCACAACTGCTCTCCTTCAAATGCTTGCGCTTCTACAGGGACCAGCATAATTCACAGATTAGTATGTATGCAACATATGCATCTACTCGTACCTTCATGCAAAATCTTTGCTAATAATTTGTGGTACTCATTGGAGCCAGGATAGCGCAGTCAGTACAGTGACTAGCTGGATGGCTGAGATGTGGGTGTTCAAGTCCCAGTAGGGATATGATTTTCTGCCCTTTACATCATCCAGACCAGCCTCCTACCCAATGGGTACCTGGGGTGAAGTAGCTGGAACATCAAGCTGACCACTCACCTCCAACTAGAGTTGAGGCCAAGAATACGTGGATCTATACACCCACTACTCCATACTTCATGGTGTAATGCTTAATTAGTTAAGCACTGGAACATCTTACATTTTACCCATGAGACATAACATCAGGCTTCCTGTCATCAGTATACTCATATTGGTGATTTTCAATACACAGTGTGATTACTCTTTAAAGGAACATGCACAGAAAAATTTGCATCTATTGTGGAATGGACAAATGCATAATCTCTGACAGCATGGACAAGGGTCATGCAGTTCAGTTCCCTGCTGCCAGCCGAGGGGTGGATGTTATATATTTGACACAGAAACTATTTGATAAATGTTAATGAAATTTTATATTAGGGCCTACAATGAAACTTGTTGGGTGAATTTAATTTTGGTTTATACACACCTCAATTTTCACTTGATTAATAATAATAATAATAATAATAATAATAATCCAATATACTATCTGTCTCGTGCCTTTAACAATTCATTTCCAAATATAAATCTCAAATTCTCAACAAGGAAGGAAATTGAAAACATTATTAAATCCCTTAAGCCCAAAAATTCACATGGATATGATGAAATCTCTACCAAATTACTTAAAGCAAGCTCTGTTTACATCAGTTCACCCTTGAATCATCTATGTAATAAATCTTTATCATCAGGTACTTTTCCTCAACGCTTAAAATACGCTGTAATGAAACCACTTTTTAAAAAAGGAGAGAGAAAATGCATCTCTAATTACAGACCAATATCCATATTGACTTCATTCTCAAAAGTCTTTGAAAAAGTTATGTATAATAGACTACTTGAACACTTAAATTCTAACAACATATTAGTCAAAGAGCAATTTGGATTTAGGAAAGACCTAACAACAGAAAAAGCAACCTATGAACTAACTAACGATATTTTAAGTGCTCTCAATGACAGATTAATTGTGGGAGGGATTTTCTGTGATCTAGCAAAAGCTTTCGATTGTGTTAATCATGATATCTTACTATCGAAATTAAATTTCTATGGAATAACTGGCAAAGCTAATGAATGGATCAAATCATACCTCAAAAACAGGTATCAAAGAGTTGAAATAAATAATAAAAACTCCAGTCATAATGCATTTTCAAACTGGGGAATTATAAAGCACGGTGTTCCACAAGGATCAATTTTAGGTCCCTTACTTTTTCTTCTCTACATAAATGATCTATCTAAAACCATCAACAATAAATCTAAACCAATTCTATATGCAGATGACACTAGTATAATATTTAAGAACTCTAAATTTGAAAACTTTAAAAATGACATAAATATTGTATTTGAAGCCTTAAACAGATGGTTCGAAGCCAATTTACTCTCATTAAATTTTGATAAAACCCATTACATATCATTCACAACTAAAAACAACCACCAAATTGATCTGGACATCAGTTATGCCAACAAATTAATCTGTAAAGTACTTGATACAAAATTCCTTGGAATACATGTAGACAGTACACTGTCTTGGAAAATACATATTGAACAAATTATACCTAAATTAAATGCAGCTTGCTATGCGATGAGATCAATTAAGCCTTTTATGTCACAGGAAACATTGAAGATGGTTTACCATGCCTACTTTCATTCTATTATGAACTATGGATTAATATTTTGGGGGAACTCTTCACATAGTGTAATAATTTTTAAAATACAAAAGAATATAATTAGAATCATTACAGGATGTAGAAGTAGAGATTCATGTAGAGAATTATTTAAGAAATTAAAAATTCTACCTCTTCAATCGCAATACATATTATCGCTTCTCTTATTTGTTGTTTACAACAAAGATAAATTCAAATTAAATTCTGATGTCTATAACATGAATACTAGACAAAAATATAACTTCCACCTACCCTCATCAACTTTATCAGTATATCAAAAAGGAGTCTACTTTACTGGCATAAAAGTGTTCAACAATCTGCCACAAAGTATTAAAAACTTGGGCAATGATACTAAAAAGTTTAAATCAGAGTTAAAGAATTATCTACATGCTCATTCCTTCTACTCTTTAGATGAATACTTCAATGTAAATAGAGAATGATGTAAAATTAAGTTATATTAATTTTTAAGCTAAAATTGCCTGTATTTATGTATGTAACCTTTTGACTTGTTCTGTATCCAAAGGTACTAACCTGCTTAGGATTTGTAGAATGTAAATAAATTCAATTCAATTCAATTAAAATATCTATTTTTTCAAATAAAAGCTCATTGTTAAAAAGAACTGTTATGTGGCATAAAGTATTGACCCCATTAAGATCTACAATGTTTATTTGAAACAGTGTCTGAGATCATAAACAGTAAGAGACTACACAGAAAACCAACAAACCTGAAGTGAAAGATTTCCAACTGTGTTGTTGAGTGCACTGTGCACTGCAGACTTGACACAACTACCTTCCAGTGTGGTCAGGCGAGCACTCACATTTTGGCTCAAGTCCTCCAGTCCAATAACTGACTTCTGAAATTTATAAAGAAGTAATTAATACATCAGAATTATAGTCAGCTGAGATGCAACATCATGCACTTCAGCAAATATCTACCATTCTCCCAGAGGAACCCAATGGCCTCCATCTTCAATGTCTACCCTGATGTTGGAGGGAGCATGTTCCCCAAAACATTGATAACTATTTACCAAACTACATGGTGTCACAGAAGACAGTAATCTTCACAGACAGGGCTGTGAGAACTTCAAACATGACGCACAATACACTGCTTCACACACAACACTAACAGACTGTGCGTTATTTTTATGAATATCTCATAGAACTGGAAACCTTACCACCATCTTTAAGCCGATTGTCTAGATAATGTGGGACCCTCAACGTCTCACAACCCTATGGGCCTTCACGGCCTGGTACAGGGATAGCTTTACTTTTTACATAGAACTGAAAACAATTTGTCACTCATACGTCTATTTAAATAAGTTTAAATAAGTTTAAAACTAAGTTTTCTGTAACTCTACTTACGTTTCACTAATATGGACTCTGGGACAGTTCAGTCAGTGAATGACTACAGGAACACACTCAAAATATCTATAATGACTTCAGGCCTATCTAACCTCCCATTCAATATGTAATAAGGAACTCTCTCTCCAATGGTAAAGCAGAGTACAAAACAGATTCCCACTTTCCTTAAATGGTAATGACAAACAGGTGCAACTTTACCTTCGGCATTAGCTATGTTGTAAACTGTTACACCAAAGGCCTTGTCAGTGGATAGTGCCATCTTCTTAAAACATTGCAATCTGCAGCTAAAATTCTGTTCTTTTTATTTACCTAAATGTACTAGCACTGAAATTAAATAAGTGGCCGGATAAGAGCAACAAAATTATAAATAATGGCTAAGTCTCAAATACCAGCCAGGTTTTTTTTATTTATTTATTTCAATCTGGTCCGTCACACTAACAAATTACAAAGACAAAACAACTCTGTCCAGTGTGACTACTGAAGTTTTTACTACTTGAAAACATGTAAGGATGTAAGTTTTTAAGTACTAAATCTTCAATAGTCACACTGGACGGAGTTGTTTTGTCTTTGTAACCAGCCAGGTGCTGGCAAATTTTAATAGCGGCTGGAACTCAGACAGAAGCCAAGTACTGGAACACAAGTATTACATAGTGGCCAGAATTCAAACAACAGTTGGTTACTGGCAAACAAACTGTAAATAGTGGCTGGAATTCAAACAAAAGCCAGGTACTGACAAATGAGTTGTAACTAGTGGCCAGAACTCATACTGGTATTGATATTGACAGCAGTCCATACAATTATACAAACATTTGTCCTACTACAATTCTGGGTATAGGCTGTGGTGTTACACAAACACTTACATGGTCCTTGCCTTCATCTTCTGCAAGCCACTGCAGTTTCTTACTCAGCGTGTCATTCACAAGAGTTATGTTGGTGGACAGCTGCCTCATCACAGATTTCATTTCTTCCTTCTCTGCATGATCTTCTGTTGAGGGTATCTGAGACTGCTGCGTTGTGTTCACTAGCTGTACCAGTCTTTGCTGGAAACATTTATATATTGATTTAGACATGACATTTTTTATGTGAGTGACATTAACACTGTTACAAATTCATAATACTAATCAGCTCAACAACTGTGCAAAAGGGTTTGATTCCTGGCAAAGGTAAGAGACTTTTCTCCCCAGCATCCAGACAGGCTATGGGGGTCTACTCAGCCTCCTATCCAAGCTTTCATCAGGGATAACCACGCACCTTCATAAAGTGCTGAAATTAAGAACACGTGGGTCTGCACCTCCATTCAGATTTGTTTTCATTTTATGTTTAATTAAATTAAGGAATTACAACAACTAACTTCAAGTATATATGTGAAGGTACCGAGAACTGGGAAAGATTCATATCAGTATAGGCAGTATCACTGATGAAATTTGAAATGGATAACACCAAATACAAATACTACAATGCATGGTACATATTAATTCCACTGTTCCTAGTTTTCTTCATTCCTGTAACTTGATGTACTTATTTTACAATCTTAACCTGAAATCTGTCACAAATCATTACATTTCTCATGACTCTTTATATTTAAAAGGTGAGAGTGACTGGTAGATACCTTGATATAAGTGACATTGTCAAAGAGGGTCTTCGAAGCTTCATGTAGCTGGCTGTTTTCATTCTTGAGCACAGTGACAGTTGTGTTCAGGTCACGAATCTGGCTGCCAAATGAAGCCACGCTAGTCAAGAGACTCTGAACATCTTGCGGAAGATTGACAAGTTCTGGAGTGGCCTTCAGTCTCTCCTCCACGACATGCAGTCCAGCCTGAACCCCCGACAGCTGCGAACACAATCACACCACGGATTATCCAGTGGGGGCCAGCATGACAACTTGTATTTGGCATTTACCTGGTTCAAATCTTAGCCAAGGTGAGTGTGCCATAGCTAGGGAGGTTACTCACCAGCTTGCCAGCATGGTGACCTGGTTCTGATTAAAGGTCAGGCAAGACAAGCACAATCTGTGGTGGATAAAGTGGCGTTGGGGCAAGTTTTCTTCATTAATCATCCCATCATCAAAGTTATACAGTCTTGATATTAACAGCATTGTTAAATAAGAAATAAGCAATTAAAACAACTTGGTCAAGACAATGGCTACCATGGCTGAAGTCTTAAGGGTTTTCTTAATTTGTTATAGCAAAATGCAGGGACAGAATTTCCAGACACAGTACAAATGCTTCCTTTATGTTTCTTCTGAATCTATTGTACACCATTACTGTCTCATCAAAAGTAGTTGAGTACTCCTGCTGCACATCAGGTGGGTACCAGGTTTAAATCCTAGAGAGAAGGCCAGCTATCCCAACTCACTTATATAAAAGTTTTCCTGAGATAAATGTTCACATAGCACCTTGCAACAGATCATAACACTTTAAATAAATAAATAAGTAAATAAATAAATAAATAAATAAATAAATAAATAATTGAATGAATAAATAAATAAACAAAAAAATAAATAAATAAATAAACAAGTAAATAAGTAGGTAAATAAATAAACAAACAAATAAATAAATACCTTTAATACTGGCAGAACAACTGTAGATGACTGCTGATGAACCAACCAACTATTCATTCGTGACAAAGACAAGTTAAACCTTCTACACATATGAGAGCCTTGTAAGCATAAGATTTATCAATGCCATTACACAATTTCAGATTACACAGCAATGAATTTATAAGTGTTAATACATTATACAAATAAGTTAAGCACCTTGAGCTGGGATAGCATAGTTGGTATAGCGACTGGCTAGGGGCTGGACGACCGAGGGGTAGGAGTTCAATTTCCAGTAGGGTCAAGAATGTTCTGTTCTCCATGTCATCCAGACTGGCTCTGTGGACCACCCAACCTCCTACCGAAGGGTACCGGGGGCTCTTTCCCTGGAGGTAAAGCAGCCAGGGCATGAAGCTGACAACTCACCTCCAACTAGTGCTGAGGTCAAGAAAATGTGGGATCTGTACATCCACTCCCCCATATACCTTCATGGCATAGTGCTTGATTTGCTAAGCACGGGGACAACTTCACCTTTTACCTGGTTGTGTACAAGTGAGCAGTCTATTGTTTCAGTGTATCACACCTATTCTGTACTGATAATATTTTGATGTGCAAATGTGAAGCATAGTATACTATACAAAGGAGATGATTATGACTAAATATTTGTGCCTGTTATGCATGGGAGATGGCACCAAATGTCAGCCTCAATACATGATTTGATGATACAGAGGACTGGAAAGGAATAGGGACAAAACTGGGAAACTTAACAGAATAAAAGCTTATATAACAAATGAGATGACTTCCCACTTCCTTCTCATCCAGTGTTACTTTACCTTTACAATATGGTGGTTTCAGCATGAACACCAAAGAACTCTACATTTCTGCCACACATGTTCTGCATGATTATCACAGTGAACACTGATTATGTCATTAAACAGCATTAATCAACGGGTCTCTTATTATTATTATTTTATTATTATTATTATTATTACTATTATTATTATTATTATTATTAGAGGGGGTGGGTTTCCCCATGCACCACGACTAATAGTCTATTGTACGTCCCCCTTTGATATTCTACCAGTCGCCATACCCTGCCGGTACTGGTGCTCGCTATCAGCCCCGTTCAGCCAGCGAGGCTGGCACTGGTACACAATGCTTCCCCATCTATCGGAGGCATTGGAAACTACTTGGGCAGGAAACTTTGCCTAATTTTGCTCAGAGGTCTCCTAGAGACATGAGGATCTTTTACATGTCATAGATCTACGACACGGGACCCACGGCTTAAAGTCCCTCCCGGAGGACTTGTTCCCTGAATTTTTCCGCCCTTAAAAATTCCACGACCTCCACCGGGTTTGAACCCACGTACCTTGAGAACTGGTATCTTAATCATGACATAGTTTTCTGTGTGGCACAAACTGAATTTTTAAATGCTATTTACATTAATGTTGGGCACCAAGCAGTTAAACTACATATCATTATTTCTATTCTATGTGAGAACAGAACCTAGAACTTGTCACAGAGACACGGAGAGTTATGGACCTTCAGAAACATACTTGTAAATTTCACAGACCTGCGCATTGAAGTTCTCCAGCTGTAAACTGAGGGCAGTAAGATTTCTTAACAGCAAGGTCTGATTTTGCTGGAGCTCTTTGGACAACGAGTGGCATTTCTGGAGTTCTTCTGGTACTCCCTGACTACCTGCAGCAACTGAAATTACAGAAAGGATTGTAAAATAACCTTCTGTTGGGTACTTATAGTCACAATAATAAATATGGGGTAGTACTTCTGCACTGGACTGATTCAGTTCAATTCACACTCGCTGAATGCTACAAAAATGAAAAGTTGGGGGCATGCAGTAGCGTAGTTATTTGAGGCATTATGCTACAAGCCAGATGATTGCAGGTTCAGTTCCCGGTGAGGTCATTTGATATTTTCAATTTATCTAATCCTTCCAGCCCCATTATGACCCTAAGGTCGACTCAACCTCTAACACAAATGAGTACCAGGAATCTTCCTCGGTGGTAAAGGGCGGCTGGCACATAAGGCTGACAACTTCACCACCGTCTGCGAGCTGCTTGTCTATAAGATGTGGAAGCCTCAAAGTCTCAAAACCCTATGGGCCTCCATGGCTTGTTACAGGGATTGCTTTGCATTTTTTTTACTTACAGTGTGATGCTGCAGAGTCTAACTGCAGACAACAATGTAAAATAACAATCGATCAATTCTCTTTAGTTAATATAAACAAATTTGTTCAAATTTAACCATCATATTACCATGTCATAAAGGTTTACTTAACAGTTTCAAACACGAAATGACAGATCACAACATCCTCCCCAAGGATCTGCTAGCAGCTATACCAAGATGTCCCCCGTACCTAATACAATCTCATCAACGTGAATACTTTTAATTAGGACAAAATACTTGCATCACAATTGTTTTTGGTGTATATTTCATAATTAGATGTCAATTACAAAGGCAAAAATAATACCGTCTAATGTGACTGTTTAAGTTTTATCACTTGAGGATTTATCTCCCTTACATTTTTCGATCCTTACAGATCATCCTCAGAGGGTATCAATACTTTCGTAAACTACTATTACAATAGATGTTAATTGTATGGATACACATGTGATGTCCAAAATGCACAATATACACAATGTTCAACCTTCCACATTCACAGCGGCCTTCTTGGTGTCAAAACTTTTTAAAAAAGTTTGTTTTAAAAAAATTTCAAGATGTCAATTAGTGTTATATATTTTGGGCAAACCCTCATTCCTAGTTGTTGGCTTGAAAATATCCCCCCACCCTTCCTGTAATATGCCAAAAAAATTCATCCTTTGTACTGCGACTTTCGGTAAACGTTTACATTATCACAAAACAGGCCTTGAGACAGGATGAGAAGCATTGGTATAAATATTTACTACTTATTAAATAAGTATGTTTTTTCTGGCTGTAAGATTTAAGTATCTCTTGGTAGAAAGTACAGATGGGTTTATGTATAGGTTACAGGTTGTATGCTACAAATATCAACTGCAGAGGTAATGTAACGCCACAAATAATGGTAGAATGTTACGTGCAGTAATTCACATACACTTGGTGTGATTAAATATGTCGCTATTCCTTTATTTAATGATACTAAGACAACAGCTTGAGTTCTTTGGCAATGAGTGTGATATAACAGTGTGACTAATTTGGGAAAAATGCGAGAGGAAATGGTAAATGCCTACAGTGTACGACTGCCTTGGCTTTTCCCTAGAAAAACCTTCAGGTGGCTGGTTTCCTGGTTGAGATTTGAGCTCTAACCACTCATATCTCCATTAAAGAGCTTTATTACACATAGAGGTAAATTTCCAGCATATGTAGTAAGGACTGAGAAATGCTAGGAGCTACTCCAGATATGAATGTCAGGCCCACATAGCACACAGTCAGTCTGGGGGACCAAGAAACATTAAGGGCAACTTCAGGGGTAAAACACACAGCACCTTGGTCGAGCTTGTTCCGCAGAGAGGTCACCTGTTCTCGGATGTCAATGAAAAGCCACATAACAGTGGTTGTGGACACCACACATGCGAATACAAGAGCCGCTGTGCATGCACGCATCAGCGACCCAAGGAAGCGGCGACGGAAAAACAAACGACACCGAGGGGCCCCGCCCCCTCCATTGCTGCTGTTGCCGCTGCGGTCCTTCCCACTCCAATAATCATCCTGTTCATCGGTGGATTCTGAAAGCAACTGATCCTGAGGGCTAGGCCCCCCGCCACAGCCCACCACACGCTTCCCTGAACCTGTGTGGGCTACAAGAGCATCAAGCTCTTTCCGCTTCTTCATCTTCTTGCCCGCCCGCAGAGGGACATTCACATGATGCGCCGTCTCCATTGCTGTGCATCAACACATTGGAACCAAACAATGTTATCACGGTATCACAGATAAGTCGGCTTCTTCTTCAAGTCATCGTCAACGTCGAACCGAGCTCTGACGGCAATTTCATTGATCTGGTCGCGCCGTCGCAACGCGACGTTATCAAAGCGACGCAGTAGTTCTGTGCGTGGGTTCATTCTCCCACGCGGCAATTGATATGACGGATATATGACCGATATCACACCTGTACTCAACATGAGCCCCGTGCGGTGGCGAAGTATTGATCGTATTGATCGGTATTGATCGTGATGGGCACTATCGAATGAATCGTACTATCGAATACATACTCGATAACGGATCGGAATGATCGTATGAAACATTCACTCATTTACATTAGTATACGTAGTACTCGAACGACGGAAAATATTTATAATGAACGGCTCAATCTACTGTGAAATATGTTTTTGAATTTATTTATTTGTCATTTCATGGCACAAAACACGTAACTTGTGCAATTTAACTTGTCTGGCTTCAGCAAATGAGGTGCATTTTGGATCTGTGGCTCTCACAGCCGTCACCGTTTAGCCGCGTTGAGTACGATTTTCTGGATCGGAACGCCTTATACACGAAGCCAGACGCTGCCGCGTGCTTAAGTTGGTTGCCTGTTTGGCCTACTCTTCGAACTGAAGATGGAGGCAAAGTTTCTGCTAAGGCGTTATAACCCACAAGGTCGTACTCGAGATTATATTCTTATCGTTCCTGTTTTCCTGCCAGTGCCCAAAAGTTGCCTAGCAGTTCAAGTGTAATTATTACATAACTAACTTCATGGAGCTGAGCCCTTCTTGAGAAACCACCAATTGTGCAGCTATGCAAGAACTTCCCAATATTTTATGGAACCCGAAGGTTCATTACCGTGTTCACAACATGCCTCCACTGGTCCCTATCCTGAGCCAGATGAAGCCAGTCCATACTACCCCATCCTACCTTATGATCAATTTTAATATTACTCACTCGCCTATGTCTTATTCTTCCTGGTGGTCTCTTTCCTTCTTGCTTTCCCACCAATATCCTATATGCATTCCTATGCTCCCCCATTCGTGCTACATGACCTGCCCATCCCATCCTCCTTGACTTCATAATTCTAATTATACTTAGCGAAGAGAACAAGTTATGAAGCTCCTTATTATGAAATTTTCTCCAACCTTCGATCACTTCATCTCTCTTCAGTCTAAATATTCTCCTCAGCACCCTGTTCTCAAACACCCTCAATCTGTGTTCCTCCCTTAATATCTCCACATCCACATGAGAACGTATTCTCGAAAGGATTTATGGAAGGTGAATAAACGAAATGAAATATCAGAGATCGAGTTTCATACCCATGCATGTGATCTGTAATGTTTGTATTGCAGTGTGTGATGCATAATCATGTCATACTGCATTAGTATGTTTATGTTGTTTCCAGATCAGTAGGTTATGAAACCGCTCATTATGCAGTTTTCTCCAAACTCCTGTCACTTCGTCTCTCTTTGGTCCAAATATTCTCCTCAGCACCCTGTTCCCAAACACCCTCAGTCTACGTTCCTCCCTTAATGTCAGAAACCAAGTTTCACACCCATACAGTAGGTGACCTGTTATGTTGATAGCCACACTGACGATCCCCAGTATTTTCATCTATGTATGGACTTCACCTTGAAAGAAGGACACTGGACAAAATTTTGTATGAAGTTAATAACAGGGATATCCCCCGATAATTACTAGTCACTTTTATCATCCTTCTTGTGAACTGATACAATAACAGCCTCCTTTCACTGATCAGGCAATTTTTCCTTATGCCAAATAGAAGTAATTAGCTTATTTCACCTCCTGCTTGAATAAGTTCTTTTGGAATTTGATCATTACCCGGCAATTTATACCTTTTCAATTTAGGAATTTCAAACTCAAAAGGGCTAGGATCAGGTATTAACGGCTCAGCCGTATGTATTTTATCTGCCTAATATCACTGACCCAATGTACTTTCAAGTGATTCTTCCACCTAATCAAAATGTTGTGGAAATCTGCAAGCAGTCTAATAAAATTATCAAATAATAATTAAATAAATTACTGTACAAGAAACTACTCAACTGATAACATTTTTATTTTTTTTTAATTCGCTTAGTGGGGAGTGGAGTCCAACTGGCTCCACTCGGCACAGCGGCCACTGATTGGCCTACTGTAGCCTGCCCTGGGTGATTATGATGATGGAGAATTTGGTGGAATGAAGATTGGCAGGGGAAACAGAAGTACTCGGAGAAAACCCGCTCCAGCGCCACTTTGTCCACCACAAATCCCACTTGACCAGACCTGAGATCGAACCAGGGCCGCCGCAGTGGGAAGCCAGCGACTAATTGCTTGAGCTATGGCGTGGCCTACTCAACTGATAACTCTGACCATGCCTCACCAGTTCTGCTAAAACCATAATGCTAGAGCAATCAAAGTTATCTCTTAGCATGGTTTGTCCCATTTAATAGTATTTCCATCTCTTCCATAATAAGCTAGCCCAGTCATTGCAATGATTAATATAGTGACAACCTCCATAAGTACAGGGGGGACTCCTGATATACCACTTGTGTTACTGGATGCCCATAATGCATCATGAATGAACCTTTATGCCCTCATCATAGAATAGGTCTTTCCAAGAACTTAACTTTTAATTAACTAAAATGTCTTCGGAGTGTACAGGGTGCCCTACCTTCATACATAACGTTTTCAAATATTAAAAACGAAACACAGTCACAAGAAAATTTTGATGTGCTTGTATAGTCACACTCCATACACTGTAAATGATTTTCCTATTCATGATGTGTATGTAT